AGATTTTTGGTGGCCCCAAATACAAAAAGCAATCAAAGACTTTGTACAATCTTATGATATTTGTTAAAAATACAAACTCCTTGGCATCAATTTTATAGACTTTTGCAATCATTATCTATTTTGAAACAATCATATTTTTTTATTTTTATGGATTTTATCATAGATCTTCTAATCTCAAGTTTGTATGATTCTATATTTATAATAGTAGATCATTTTATTAAGATGGTACATTTTGTACCATGTACAAAATCTATCATAAGTGAAAAAAATAACTAAGCTTTTTCTTAACAATATCTATTGCTATCATAGATTATTCAAAAATATTATATTAAATAAAAAAAATTAATTTATATCAAGATTTTGGAGTAGTATTTGAGGTATACCATCAATTATCATCAAGATAATTGGATAACTCTTTTGTCATTGATAAAGTTTGCATATAATAATTTGATACATTTTTCTACTCAATAAATTCTCTTTTTTACCAATTATAGTTATAATCAATAATTTGATACTTTTTATTTTTTAAAAGTTGATAAATTTATGACAAAAGATTTGACAAATCAGTTATCAAAGCTACATACAACAATGAAGGTGTAGTTAAAGGAAGCTCAAAATAACAAAAGATTAATGCATATGCCTATTGCAAAGAACAATTATAATCCAATGTGAGTAACAAGGTATGGCTACTTTGTCGCAATATCAAGACTATTTGCCTTTGTGATAAGTTAGACTATTGTAAGCTTGGACCTTTTTCTATAAGAGAACAAGCCAATCTTATTACTTTTTATGACATCTACCAAAGTTTATGAAGATCCATCTTGTATTCCATGTATCTTTTTTTGAGCCGTAAAAGATAGTGAATATCTCAAGAAGAAGACAAATACCACCTCTTCCTATAAAAGTAGATAATAATCAAAAGTTCAAGGTGGAAGAGGTTTTAGATTCAAGGTAGTGCCAAAATAGATTAAAATATCTTATTTATTGGCATAGATATGATATTAATGAATGCACATGAGAACCAATAAAGAATCTTATAAATGCAACAAAAAAGATTGAAGCTTTTCATTGACGATATCTATCAAAATCAAGATGAAGAATAGCAAATCTTTATTATAATAGAAACAAGATCTAGGAAAGATAGCATTCTACTTTCTATTCTTGCTTGTAAATTTTGTGTATTTGTGATGCTAAAGAGGTGGAAAACCAACAACCAATAGATTCAACTCAAGAACTATTTCTTACTGATTTATTAAATGAGACATTGTGATTGTTACAACCTTCAAGTTGACATAATCAAGATGAAGATCCTCAAGAATAACATGTCCTTCTTGAAATAGATAGCAAGATATAACGAGTTTGGTATCATGACCTTTAAAGAGACTTTTAATATTTGGTTATTTTATTAGAGGTAAGAATAATTCCTGATGATGTTTCAAATATTTTATTTAAAGAGAGTTACAAAGGCCTCAACAAAAATCAAATAATAGGGTGGTTTTCATGCCCTGGTATGGAATACTATAAATGGTTAAGAGGACCTATCAATTATCTTTGAAGAGAACAAAGATCAGAATAAGTAACAAATATAATTTGCTGTATCTTAGATTTTCTTAATATATGATGATTGCTCCTTGTCAAACTTGTTCATAGAAGGGAGGGGTGATGTCACAAAAATACATATTTATTCTAATATTTACCTATATGATTAAATAGAAGTAGATAAAAATCGATTCATTTCATATTATTTTTTAAAGAAACTACTTAGAAATTTCATAAACAATGATTTGACTTTACATGTATTTGTAGTTGATTAATAGGTTAGAAACTTGATCAACAAGTTAACCATGTGTTAGTAGTTTGCAGAATAAGCTAAATATGTAGCACATATATAAAAAACTTGCCTTGCAAGTTAAGATATGGATCTTGCAAAGTCAAACATTTTGGAGGTCATATAAGACATTGCCATATAGCTACTAATTAAGAGTATATATATAGAAGGAGGAGTGAAGCCTTCTTTACTCTTGTCAATGCCTTTCAAGTCTTTAGTCTTATTTCAAGACTTTCTAGTCTTCTTGTCTTTGACAATAGCCATTCTCGTTTAATATTATATCATCTTTAGTCTTTTTTAGTCTTTTTGAGTGACATAAGAGTATATTGACATTTTAGTTCTTTAAGATTTATGTCCTTCACATCCTCTTATGATGTCTTTTAATAAGAATAGTTCTTTTGTATCCATGTTTATCTTGGAATGCTGAAGGTGGGGCAAGATGTAGATCAATTTTTCTATGCCAACTTCACCATGAAAATGTTTTGCAAGGTACATGAAAGTGTGGTGTTCCCAATAGAAGCAACAACAATTGCCTTGGATGTAACAACTCTTATTTTAGTGGAAATTAAGCAAGTCAAATATCTATGGAAGATTTGTTTACATAGTCATAAAGAGACAGTTTTTAAAAATTAGAACACTTATTTAAAGTATCCAAAAAAAAGACTACAACAAAGCTACTTACAACCACCAAGACAACCATCAATAGCTAATTGCTCCACTCCCTCTTGTCTTTTCTCCACCTTCTTGTTTGATTGTTTTTGTGAATTATCTCTACTACTACGCACATCCTTCAAATAGCTATGCTAAAATAAATAAATTCTAAATTTTAAACTTAGATTAAAAAACTAAAAATACTAAAAAAATTATTATTAAAAATACACAAAGATTGTCTTCTTTTGTATTATTTGTCATGCATGGATACTTGTGATTCAATGCCACTAAAATTGGACTACACAAAAGCTTTAAAAACTTTGTTAATATAAAGTTAATCCATGATATACAACCAACATTAGAAAACTAAGAAGCTAAGGAAAAAATTTGTCATTTTTAACCACAAAAATTCTAAAGAAATTTATAGGTAAGTTTCTGTCTTATGCATGCTATTGAAGTTTCTTCTTCATTTGTAATTATTTGCTCAAAGTCCCTCATTCATTATAAAGAATTTGATTTCTCCTCCTATTTGTAATTACTTTGCAATATTTCTTCAATAAATGTGAATATACTTAGATTTCATATCTTTATTTTTTTTTTCATGCAAAAAATATAGTGAACATTAGTAAGCACATTCAATATTTTATTTTTTTTAAAAAAAATAAAAAAAAAATAATTAAAAATATATATGAAATTTAAGTAAAAAATCTTTAACTTTTAAATAGATTTATTTTTTCTAATATCACATTTCAAAAATAATCTCTATTTAATTTTTTTCAATATAAGTTTTTTTATACCTAATTATAAAAATAAAATAACTTTTAATATTATTTAATTTTAATTGATTGGTTTATTATATTTGAATTAAATTTAAAAAATCATAATAGTTAAAGAAATTAGATATATAATTATGTAATTTTTTATAATTTAATTTTAAAAATAAAAAATATATTTAAAGTCTAAAAAAATAAATTATTTTACTTTTTAGAGCAAAGATGTTTGTATCAATTATTAAGATAAAAACTTTAGTTGTTAGTAGAAATTTTACTTATAAAAATTAATTTTTAAAGAATTATAAAGATTAATGAGATATATATGTGTATGTGTGTGTGTGTATATATATATATATATATATATATATATATATTATTTAAAACATTTTCTTTATAATAATGTCATTAAATTTAACAAAAACCACCATTTATACCAATTTACAAGTTATTACAAAATACAAATAGTTTATCTTTGAAGAATAAATTACATATAATAAAAATTATTGATACATTTTTTTCATATATTTATTATATTTATTTATTAAAATATTTTTTCACGTATTTACAACAATACTTTGTTTTTGTTTTTGTTTTGTTGTTTTGTTGTTTTTTTTTTTTTTTTTTTTTTTTTTTTTTTTCATTCTTTCTTCTTCTAAACTAAATATAAGTTTAAAGAACTTAAAACATCAAAAGAGAATTAATCTGAATATTAATATCTATTTAGATAATAAACCAATACTAGAAGATTTAGTAGATTTTTTTTTTAAGTAATGAAAATATCAAAATGAGAATATATATAATAAATTCTACTCAAATATTAAATTAAAATGGATTAGATTCTCTATACAATTTATTTGTCTATGTGCTTGTTTTTCTTTAACATCAATTGTATATTAAAAATAAAAAAGTAATAATAATAATAATAATAATCTTACATAATTCAAAAATATAATCTAGCAAACACTTTTAGAGGGAGTATTTTGAAGGCCTATGTTTTAATCAATAAATGCAATGTTTGAGGATAATTTATGATACTTCACTTGTTTTTATGAAGTATGCCATGTGATTATTAAAGCTTTACTTGTCTTCCAAAATGACCTATAATTATTCTAAAAGCTTACTTTTTTTTTTTATTATTAGGACCTTTAAATTTAACTTAGAGAATTATTTAGCCAAATAGTAAGTTGCATTGGCATTATATCTGTTATTAAACAGATCTATTTAACTTGATTGTTAAATGAGCAATAAGATTAGTTTATTAAATTTAAGTAAGTTCTATTTTCTAATAGAAAGGAGAGGAGACAACATCAAATTTTTGATGGACCTAATATGGTTTGTACTAAGATGTGGTTTTGATTTTTCTAAAAAATCTCTTTGTATTTCAGAATAAGTATTTAAAATAAAAACATATTAAAAAAGGTTTTGGAAACTCCTAAACCATTGGTTATACTAAATTTAAGTTATCATGGAAAGTATTTAGATGTCTTAGAAAATAGTGATACTTACGCTTTGAACTTTGAATATCTTATCCATTAGAAAGGCAAGATCCTACCTCGCACAAAAAATAATGGCAAAAGACATTCATTTGGTAATAATTTCTAGATTTCAAGTACCTACTCTATACATTAGTCTATACTTTAGTTGCCAAAAATAATTCTAAATTGCTGTGATTAAATAACAGTTAATTAATTACAATTAATACTAAAATAAAATAAAAATCTAAATAATCCAATGTAATATCCAAAACAAACAAGAATTAAATTGTAAATTTATTCAAAGATGCTCATGATTTTCAAAAGGATCGCCTCAGATCAAAACTTAAGAATGATGAACAACTGAAACCAAATTTTCACTTTAATTTAGCCATCCGAATGAACACTAGAGGCTTTCTAATTGAGCTACTATAACTCTACAATAAACCCCAAGAACTCCACCCATGTTGGGAAGTCAAGGTGACACCTCTGAAACCAATGGGTTTGACGGCAGTGAAGGTACTTCTGGGTTGACACTTGATATACGCTCCTCTTCGGCTCCAAACTTTTTATCATTTCAACCCCTATTCTAAAACGGCCCGAAGTGCCTGTCAACAGCAACAGATTTATGCATGCTCCAAATAAGGGTTTTACCTATATCATTACAAATGAGGGTGCATAGAACTGTATATGTTTATGGAATATCCACTTTAAAATACACGCTTACAGTTGGTTTTAAGGAAATAGCTCAATTACGAAGGACCTTGGGATTATTCACAGAATTTTTACGAACAAACTAGTAGATTCATTTCATCCACGCCAAGAATTTACCCACGAAACGCTACCTCCAATGCAGACGATCTTGCAGCCTCTCGTCAAGATCTAAGGGGAGGCTGCTATAGCACAGAAAGTAAAAGAAGTTTCTGTCATTGCATGATCTGGTAAACCAAGAGTCACTGATAGAATGAAAACTTAGGTTGATTTGAGCTTCAAATCAAAATGCTGCAATGTCAGACTTGCAAATGCATCGTCACTTGGAGCCGTACCGCGGAACATGGGAGAGCTCTATAGAGTCTTTGGATGGGTCTCAGATCCCGTTCCCAGCGTTTGATGTACAGTTTTTGGAGGCTTAGACCCCTGATCAAGAAGAAAATTCAGTCAGGACAAACACGAGCATCAGAAAAGTTGAGTCGCTTAGAAGCAGCCTATGTTTTTTTTAGAGTGTTTTATTATCACTCATCAAAGTTTCACCAAAAATTAATTAATTATTATATATTATACAAAAAGAACAAAAGAACAAAAAGAATGATTAATCTTTTTGAAAAGGAATTTGAACAGCTGCACATTCCTGAAATTAGATTGAGACAATTTTTCTGAATTCATCGTAAGGAACCCTTCATCTAAGTCTGAACTTCAGGATTGTTTGCAAACCTGAAAAACTTGACCCAGCTTCTTGAGAGCCTTGGCACGGGTCGTGAGTTCATCCTTGGATACCTTTGGATCATTTAGGATCTGTGTTCAATCACAAGAAATGAGTCCTCCACGTGGTGCCAAAGCCATTAATTAGATTATTTACAGAAATATGCAGTTAAATACACATGCTCCATTGAAAAATTGGACGAAGAACATCGTGTGTGCAAAGTTGATAAGCACTGAGTTAAAATATGAGAGTATGTACCCTTTGGCAGACATTTGTAAGCGTGAACTCAATATCGGCTACGTTGAGCTTCCACAGATTCCCAAGCATCATTTCTTGTTTTGACGCTAGATAGGCCTCTACTCCTTGCTCTTCCACCTGACCAGCCTCAATCTGCTTTTTTAAGTCTTCTTGCATCTGCATTATTTGAAGTACACCTGCACCCAAACCGCACCATGTTTGGTTAATTCTTGATGTCTACGAACACAATTTAAAAAGCCTACTTTAAGTCTCTAGTCCTACCAAGCCAAACTTCCAAGCAAAATTTTTAACTTCTATTGTTACTTGGAATGCACCGACTTTGTCAGCAAATCAATGTGAAAGAGATCAAGTAGACGTTTAATACCCCTGCTAGGTAACAAAAAAACCTTAATCTAACCCACACTCTGACTACACTACACAGTCCCCCGATAATAGTGCTAGGATGAGAGCAGATTTGAAAGATTTGCAGAAATAAGCAAGGATTACTTCAGGATGACACTTTGAATCAAACTTATTTCATTGATGTAGGACAATTTTTTGAGACTCACGCTAGTACCACATCAGCGCAAATTCTGTAATCTCAACTGCAGTTGTGACATTATACCTACAGCAGCAGACACTTGAGATTTTATATAATGGCCTTTGCTGCGCAACCACTCTGTTACAAACGGCACTCCCAAAAAGCACAGCTTCTTTCCAAGCTGTTTTGCAGCCTGTCGCTGATAAATGTACCCAATGGTGTGCAGCATTGGTTCTCCAAAAGCTGCAGCCAAGCGATATGGTTGCGATACGACACCGGCATCCCAGTCAGTAATTCCGCTTAACCTGTGACTATAGTAATACAGCAATACTTGTGGTACTGATATGCTCTCCACGTTTTCAGCCATCTATGATCATCAACTGGTTTATGCGCTTTATCACATAATCTATGCATATAACAACCATTCTACACGCATCTTCATTCAGTCGAATTGCAGAAGTACTGCAGGTTCCATCAAATAAGCAATCTGAATGACAAAAAAAACGAATTCTAAAGCTTACCAGCATCCTTCAGAGTTTCCCTCTCATTTCTGGCCCAATTGACGAAGTCATCCTTATCGCCTGTAACGTAGGGCGCGATTCGATCAAGCAAAAGCTTAGCAAGTTTCTCCTCCCTCTCTTTTTGAACCTCCTGCAATAGAGACGATTGAAATATATGTTTCTTAGTGACTTAGCTACTGTCGAAGTGATAGACTATCACAAATTAAAGCCACTGCCGTGGATTACCTACGCATAGCTGAGCAACTTGGAAAGTTATGATCACCTTCATTTCCGTCCGCACTTGCCCTAAGTCGATGTTTTGAGCTTCAACACCAGTGTCCATTCCAGCCATTGACGCCATTGCCAACTGCCAAAGCAAGCAAAGCCACCAAGGATAGACATCTGGCATAAGAATTATCCACTAGAATGAACAGATGAAGAAAGAGACCTGAACTGTATATATTTACAGTGGATGCTTTAACTCAGACAATAGAACTTAAGATGACAATTAACCTACAACTGATGCAACTATCCAATTTATTACAGAAAATTTAGCTACATCAGAAACTTGTCACACCACATTAGCTATTGTAAAGTTCCAAATTTGGAATAAGGTCCAAAAAGCATTGATCGTAGTACACATTGACCGTGCCGTGAGATCAGAATTTTCCAGACGATCTATACCTTATTAATAAAAACTAATATTTCGGTGAACTAGAATCGCACCTGACCAATATAATCTTCAAAGGCATCACTACCAAACAACATCCCAAAAACAGCAGACGGATCGACCATCGCTTCTCTGCACCACGACAAAAGCCTCTATTAGCTCCAACTTTGACCCATATTTCAACTCAGTAACAAGGGCATGAGTCAACTCCGAGCGAAAGATCGCGTTCGGGTCACATACAACTGGGTGCACACCAAGAAAGAATTCAAATCCTTATTGAAGAATTAAGCTCAGAAGTTTGTACTTATCTTAAAGCAGCTATTTTTACAGGAAAGTGAGGGAAGGAACGCACTGAGAAACGCCCGGTTTTCCAAACTTATCATAGGCCTCTCTTTTCTGTGGGTCACTGAGAATTTGGTACGCCTCACCCAAGACCTGTGAGGTCCCAAAATCTCGCCCCAGCCGTTAATTGGCATTACAAGAACCAACGATTCAATCAAGTTCCTGATGCGGAAGAGATTCAATAAATAAATACTCATGGTATGAAATTTCATCGCAGCCATGAGTGCTACAAAACTATTTGTTAAATCGTCCACATTTCCATATTCCGACAGGCAACACAGCTAATGGTTTCAATCCCAAGTGTAATTTTTAATCTTTGATTTTAATACAATCTACAAATTTAGCAATTCTCATACAGGAACAATCAGCTTGTTTATGCCACCTTTCAGTCAATACCTGGAAGTTATTGGCAGCTTCAGGGTCATTGGGGTTCTTATCCGGATGCACGAGTCTTGCCTGCATTAACAGCAGAAACGATAAATTTTCGACAGAGACGTCAACTCCGTCCCTTTGAATATCACCTTGAAACAAAAGAATGAGCTTCACAAGGAACACTAATTTCCACATTGAATGCACACGAAAACAAAATCAACCCGTAAACTACAAATAACACGGTCGATGAAACCAACCTTCATATAATATGCCTTCTTGATTTCGGCTGGAGTGGCCTCAGGTAGCACTCCAAGCACATTATAATACTCCATCTCACTCACCATCCCTGAAATTATAGGAAAAATCTCCTCCCAACACTGCTTAATCCAAAGAAGAAAAAATTAAATTCAGGGACGAACCGCACACTAAACAGGACATGAATAAATAAACAAAAATAAAACAGAAAAAACGAAGAAACCAGCAGGTGACCTAACCCTAACCCTACCACTTATTAGCCAAGCGCGATGGAGTGAGATCTCTGGAGACGAATAGAATTGAAAGTGCTAAAACATTCGAAGGCAAATTCGTTCAAAAATTCTGCAACTGTGAGAATTTGGAGGAACATCGTTACAAAGAGGACGGTCCACGAAACGCATTCCATGAGCAGGGGAGACACTCAAGAGCAAGTTCAGAGATCAAATAAAGACTTCCTGTTCATGCGCAAAACAACAGGCAAAATAACAACAAAAACAAAATCAACAATAATATAATGAGTACAGGCAGGAACACGAACGCAACTGGTAATCCAAGCAATCTTCGTTCAACTCACCAAACTCAAACCACCAGAACACCAATTCGCTTAAATGCGATGAACTCGACCACCACCAGCGACACTGCACCTACATGCTTATTCTTCTTCTGCAGCTATCAACCAAGTCCACCTCAAAACTGGTCGCAAGAATTTACCAGCTGCCTCTCACGCTGCACGTTCCGCTTCGGTAAAAACAAAAACAAAACCACAACCTGACAACCAGCGGAAGTAGAAATTAGCTTCGCCTCGCCCCCGCACCTTCCATATCAACACCATAGAATCCCGCAACGTCCGCCAAGCAACCCTTACCATATATCCCATCTCGATTGATAGCCATAAGCGGATGCAGCCAGCGGAGACGCCAGGGTCTGCCGTTCTGATGACTGAGTCAGGGGTGATGTGTTGATGTCCACGTCAAATGCTGAGCTGTGACGCAGAGGTTGGTTGCTGTGAGGGGTGGTTCACGAATAGCAGGCTGAGCTGGAACTTCTCACCTTCTAGGAAGTGTCTGAGAATATTGTCCGAAGTTGTTCAGTGGGTTTGGCAGAATATCCCCTTTCGTTAAGGGGTTGGATACCCTTGTTATTATTGTTGAGGATGTTTAGAAAGACACAAGAGTAGTAGTAAGTCATACACACACAAGAGTAGTAGTAAGTCATACACACACAAGAGTAGTAGTAAGTCATACACACACAAGAGTAGTAGTAAGTCATACACACACAAGAGTAGTATTAAGTCATACACACACAAGAGTAGTAGTAAGTCATACACACACAAGAGTAGTAGTAAGTCATACACACACAAGAGTAGTAGTAAGTCATACACACACATGGGTTTCTAAGGAGAGAGAGCTTCACACGCACAAAAATCTATTGATCTGGTTGTGTCTCGTATACAAGAAGATAGAAGATAAGAGGATGAACAGTACTTCTCCACTAGACTCTAAATACTATAGCTACAGTAATTACTATAGTCTACAGTAAATATTATGGAGAGCGTTGGCTATATTTAATGATCTCAATACTCCTCCTCGCTCATCATAATATTTACATAATATAAAATTTATATAGATTTATAATTTATACTTTTCTGTGATCTTGTAAGATCAAGAATTGTTGCCTCATTAAAACCTTATCTAGGAAAACCTTATTTTATTTAAGGACAAAACCATAGATGAAGGAAAAAGAGTACAACATCATTTTCTTTAATTATTTAAAGAGCTTATTAACTTTCTTATTCAAGAAAAGCAAGTCGTCGCATACCAATGCCATAAGTAAGTCGACAATGATTACTTAATGGGAGAGCTTTGGTGAAGAGATCAGCAAGGTTATTTATAGATTCAATTTTCTTAATTATAAGTGCTTTATCAGTAATCAAGTCATGAGTATAACTAAAAAACTTTGGATCAATATGCTTTGTCCTGTCGCCTTTAATGAAACCAACTTGCATCTGTGTAATACAAGCACTATTATCTTCATGCAAGATAGTTGGAGAATCATCATATGAAAATCCACAGGTTGTTTGAATGAATCTATCAATTGATCGCAACCAAATATATTCTCGGGATGCTTCATGTAAGGCAATAATTTTTGCATGGTTAGATGAAGTTGTAGTTATTGTTTGTTTCATTGATTTCCATGATATTGTAGCTCTATGTCTTAAAAATACATATCCTGTTTGAGATTTAGCTGTTGCAATATCATATTTATATCCTGCATCACAATATCCAACCAATTTTGGGTCTGCAGATTTTGTGTAATATAATCCCAAGTCTTCAGTACCTTTTAAATAACGTAATAAATATTTGATGCCATTCCAATGTCGTAGTGTTAGACGTGTACTATGTCTTGCAAGAACACTAACTGCAAATGCAATATCTGGTCTTGTAGATGTAGCTAAATACAAAAGTGCTCCAAACGTTGCGAGGTATGGATATTGGTCTCTCAATATTTCCTCCTCCTCGCATGGACGGTATGGATCATGACCATCACGACCACATCCAACCATTGGTGTGGACAATGGATAAGCATCATTCATATTAAATCTTTGTAAAATTCGTCTAATATACGTTAGTTGGTAGAGAAAAATGCTACCATCTGTAAGATGCATAATTTGAAGACCAATGCAGAAAGTTGTTTTTCCTAGCATTTTCATCTCAAATTCATGTATAAGTAGGTTTGTAGCTGTAACACATGCAGATGTAGTACCCACTAGGTTAAGATCATCAACATATACAGCGATGATCACAAAACCAGTTTTATCTCGTTTGATAAACTAACAAGGTATTAGTAGATCACTTATAAAATTATTTTTAATTAAATAATCTCGAAGACGTTGATACCACATTCGTCCAGATTGTTTTAAACCATACAAGGCCTTACATAATTTAATACCACGATATTTTCGTAGAGCGGGTTGATTTGGAGTTCCTGTTTCTAAGTCAGGTGGAACTTTCATAAAAATATTTGCATCAAGAGAACCATATAGATATGCAGTAGCTACATCCATCAGATGCATCTCAAGGGTGGCATGAACTGTCATTCCAATAATATATCGAAATGTAATTGAATCCATGACTAGAGAATAGGTGGATTCATAATCAATGCCAAATTGTTGAGAAAATCTTTGAGCAACAAGATGAGCTTTATAGCGGATTATTTGGCCTTGAGCATCTTGCTTGCATATTAATACCATTTTATATCCCACACGGCGAGATGTAAGAGTATCTACAATTGGACCAAAGACTTTCCTCTTACACAAAGAGGCATACTCTTCCTCAATAGCAATTTTCCATTTTAACCAATCAGAGCGACGCATCGCCTCTTTGATGGTTTGAGGTTCAGGATCGTCTTCCTTGCAAGAAAGGGCTTCTATAATCATATATGCAAATGATTCATCTACCGTAATAGATAGTCTGTCCCAAATATCATCTGTAGCACAATACATAATAGATAATTCTTTACTCAACTTGTTCTTATTCCTTCCAGTTCCAAGATTGTTTTTCATAGGAATTGAAGATACATTATGCATGGATATATCATCATGAATTGGTAGTCCTGCAAGATGAGTGGCAATTTCTTGAGAAATAATACCAAGATTACTTAATTTTATAGCTTTCTTCTTACGTGGTTGCTTATCTGGTCCACAAGTTCTTTTAGTTGTTGTTATTATAACTTGAGGTATTGTAGTCAATGGCACTGTAATCTGAGCAGGTACATTCTGAGCCTCATTAATAGGAACTCTTGTAATTCTAGGTGCATCATTGAAGCCATCAGGTGTTTCATCCGCAATCCGTTTTAAATGCAAAATCTTAGCAACTTCAGTTTCTGCCAAAGATGTCCTAGGATCGGGATTCATTGTAAATGTTTCTGGTGCTTCAAATATGAGTACTTTATTTCTTTGTTGATTGGATACTCCTCCTTGAAGAGATGAGAATACAATTTCTTCAAAACGACAATTTTACAGACGTGCACGTAATAATGTGCTAGTTGATGGATCAACAATACGAATAATGCTTGGTGAATCAAAACCACACATATATGCCTTCTAATCGATGAGCTCCAATGGTACGTCATTGAGGTTCTAGTATTGGAATCCAAGCACGGCAACCAAATACTCGTAAGTGAGATACATTTGGAACACGACTTGAAATGAGCTCATGTGGTGAAACAATTTTAAGAGAAGAAGGGCGGAGGTGTATTAATGCTGTAGCATATAAAACTCCATGATCCCACATAGATGTAGGTAGATTTGCGTGAAGGAGGAGTGGCCGCGTAATGAGTTGTATACGCTTTATAAATGACTGTACAAGTCTATTTTGAGCATGTTCATATGGAACACAATATGTCAATTTGATTCCTGTTGTAGTACAATAGTCTTCAAAAGACTTTGATGCAAATTCTTTTGCATTATCCATACGCAATGTTTTTATAGGATAATCAGGAAAATGTGCCCGAAAGCAAATAAGCATAGATATAAGATTGGCAAACACCATGTTTCGAGTTGATGATAATGAAACATGTGATTGTTTACCTGATGCATCAACAAGGACTAAAAAATAACGAAATGGTCCTGATGTTGGATTAATAGGACCACAAATATCACCATGCAATCTTTCAAGCATTAGTGGTAATTCTTGTAGAAGTTTCCAAATTGAAGGTCGAATAATCATTTTACCTTGCACACATGCACGACATAATTCTATAAAGTCTACATCTGTAGGTTTTAAATTATGCCTAGTTATACATGGAATGATCTTTCTAAATAATGTGGATCCTGGATGTCCCAATCGTCCATGCCAGAGAGAAACACGACTCTCTGAGATAGATGATGCAAAATTAAATATAATGGGAGGCCAAATCGTAATTCGATATAAACCATTTTTTATAGCAAAAGCTTTTTCAACAACTTTATGGTTCTTCGCAAGAATCAAAACTTCTTTTTTATTTAAAGTGGCGGTCGAGAGGTGATAACCATTAATACACACATCTTGTTAGCTGATCAAACTCCGAGGTGCTGAGGGTGCAAACATCGCATGTTTATATTTTATGATGGAACCCGCAGGTAATTTTACCAACGTTGTGCCTTCTTGGAAACAGAACACATTTGCTCCAGCCATGGTCATCATATTTTTAGTTTGCCAAGTTGAAGATTTTTCAATAAAAAATCGTCTATCTCGCAAGATAGTATGTGTTGTTGCAGAATCAATGAGTGCATCATTTGATTCATCATTAGAGGCTCTACTAGTCATATAAGCCTCTAAGTCATCAACACCAATTGAATCCATGGATGCATCCATGATATGAACTTCACGAGCCTCAGCTCGTAATTTCTTATTTTCTTGGAACATTTTAATAAAACATTCTGAAGTACAGTACGCATGTGCTAAATGTCCAATCATTCCACACTTACCGCAAGAACACATCTCTGATTTTTGTTTTCTACTATAATTAATAGTAGAATGTTTATTCTTTCCATATAGATAGAAATGGTCTTGACTATGACTACCTTGATACTTATGAGCACGTTTTCCATGTTTATATAATTTCTTTTTAGACTTTGAAATATTAAGTGCATGAGATTCAGGAACTATAGTTCTAATAGGACGAGCTTCCGCATTGCGCAAGAGTAGCTCATTTTGCTTCTCCGCAAGAAGTAGATAGGATATGAGATCAGAATGACTTTGAAATTTCATGTTCCTGTATTGTTGTGCAAGCACAGCAGATGTAGGAGGAAATGTAGAGAGATTTTTCTCAATCATTTCTTCTTCAGAAATGCTTTGTCCTCATAATCGTAATTATGAG